ATGACCTCTGAGGTCCCTTCCAACCTTCGGCATTCTATGATTCTATGATTCTATATCAAGTCTAGTCTCAAGTGGTAGCAATGTAAAAAATAGAAAAAATAAAAAGAGACCTTATGCATTTTTCATGTGAATACTCAAAGTTCTGATATAAAACAAGGAAGGCTTTTTATTTCTTTAATGACATGAACTTTTGCTACATTCCTTAATCGTGTAACCCAGTCTCTCAGCAGACTTTTGGCAGGGCTGTTGAGATCTGGTAGAGAATGGCTGGGCTAATCATTCTCGTATTTTCCTTTATCTACCACCATGCCATAGGTGGCCAGGAGGTTGCTAGCTCTCTTGTGACCGTGTTCYAAGCAATCGTTACCAGGTGAGAAAAAATAAGAAAAGTCTAGATGACTAAAAATAAACAACCAGGTTTCTGCTACCACTAAGGCCTGAACTGAATAGAGGTGATGGGAACTGCTGGTCAGGGATCCCTTTCTCTGCAAAGTTCCTCTGGGGTGACTCACGTCTCTCCTTTGGAGCTTTTAGATATGCCACATCTCTCGATCTCTCGCAATACAATGAGGAAAGGATGGAGACAATGTTGAAGAGAGAGAAGAAATATTTAAGATCAAGAAAATCTGCAGCAGTRACCATGACTACATGTATCAAGAAAACCAGGAAAATAAGCTAACCTTCAGGACATCAAGAGTATGAACCTATCAGCAAAAGCAGTGGAAAAATCGTTCTGTAACTTTTAAAATGAGGGCAGAATCAAGTGGGTGATTTGATGTGGTTGCTTCTGAGACTGCTAGACTAGATTTAAGTCAATCCAAAAGGTCCATTTTTGGTCTAAATTACCATATTTTCTTACTAAAGCTGAACTACTCAATTGTCCCTCAGAACGCATCTGTGTTACCAAAAGCAGTAGAATTCTTCTTGTACGTGATGCTTGCAAAGATTGAGAGCTTATCCTATAGACAGTTATTTTCTCAAAATAGTTAGCATGAATACATGTTACATAGATGAATTTATGCGTGAATGTCTGTTCTGTGACTAAATGTTGCATGCTATCCATTTAAACAGGTTAGGAAGATCATCCTATCCATTTAAACAAGTTTAGGATCAAGTAGTCTTCTTCCTGAGTTCTGGGAAACAAATGGCATTATATAAAATGCTGCATTGCTTTTCAAAAGAGAGCAGAGAACCTATGTTAGAAATATATTCACTTGTCTCTGTGCAAATCCTGGAGTTTATGAATCTCTCTGATTGCCTTATAAATACATTAAGATTATGCTCTAGTATTCAAAACAAGAATATCTCTGTCCCTTTTCCCATTAGAAATAAATTTTTCAGCATCAGCCAAATATATGCCTTATTCATGACAAACAGAAAAAGTTTTTGAATATAGCTTGACATCTTAATTATTTCTTTTAACTTAAGCCATAAAGCAATCTACAGATGTTGTGAAAATTCTAATAAGGATCATATTTTGTGTTTACATGAGTTACTGAACAGAGTAAGAAATATTCCTGAAGCTTTAAATATTTTCAAAAAAACTGCAACTTTTCACTGTGGAGTGTAACTCACCATATATTTTCATTTGTGGTTTCTGGACAAGCAGAAGATATTGAATTAGGCATCAAATCTTTACATCTCAATTTTAGAATGTTATGGGTATATACTGGGCAAAATGGATAGGAATAATCATGCTATTCCCCTTGGCATAGTCTTAGCTTCTGAAAGCATCAGGGGAAATTTATCTAAGAAAATATGAAGCAGGCTCACAGTGCCTCGAACATATAGGCTGCAGTCATAAAGAATGACTGTGCCTTCTGCAGGCACTTAAATTGCCTTTAATTTAGATAAGTAAGGGATCAATAGCAGTAAAGGCAAAATCAGCATGGATTTCAAAACAGGTTAGTAACTTTGGTGAAGAGGCCAGCATCTCAATCTGGCCAAAACCATCTGCAAGAAATGCCRTGATACTGCAATTTCCCCACTTCTTTTCATCTAAACTAGTTATATTTAAAACTGTGCCTCTGTACCTTCCAAGTTTGGCACAGATATGCAGAAATATAGATGTAGAATATATAGAAAATGGAGAACATGAGCATCATTATTTAGGACACACTGTATCTCCACAAGCAACATGGTGCGGCCTAACACAGAGTGATCATTTGATCTTGTCAAACAGCGATCTTCCAGACAGACAYGATACCTGGACTGTCTACGAGCAATCAGTACTAAATAATAAAGTGAATAATAGCGTACTATGTAATTAGTATTCTGTACTATTCTATGTTATATCGAGTTGCAYGTAAGCAGAGATGGAGGCCTGCTGCTGGTTCAGGAGTGACCCAGGCACGACTCGTGTGTAGCCAACTGCTTGAACTGCTTGTGAAGCAACAGTCTGGGGGCTTGTCCCGTCCCATGTGAGAGACTTTCTGATTCAAATTCATCTCCCTTGAGGAACTTTTGGCCAGGCCAACACCTCCACACACATTGAGGTAAAGCTGTCTGTGTGGCAATGCCTTGGCACAGTTTAACTGATCTGGCTCTTTTCTTTGAAGGAAGCAAATGCTTTAAAATAATTAGACAAGGCTGTCAGGGGACAACAAAGCGATGCTTCAGATCCTACCCCCTTGGCAGCAAGGGTCATGAGCACAACGTGCCTGAGATAATCCACCTGCAGAAATCTGAATTTCTCCCCATTTATCAAGGCACAGCTCTATATACTAGCTCTTATCATATCTAAGAAGTTATTGAAAAGGAAAACTGTCATTATCACACCAGTGAAAGTTTTCTAGACTAGAAGCAGCTTTCAGGTGGTTCAAAATGCCTACTACACTAGGGTGAACTGATATCATATTATCAGGCACTTTGTTCTCTCTCTCTGGCTGCCAACCTAATGGCTCTGCTATTACAATATCACTGTTCTTACGCCATAGTCTGCAATGTACTCAAGCCTAATTTAAAAATCCACCTTTTGCTCTGAAGCTGAAGCCACGTTAGCAGTGACAGTGGGGTTCTCTGAATCCAAAGCTTCACTTACAGAACTTAAAGGCAGGATTTTCCTTGCACGGGATACACTCCCCTCAAATGCTCACATGTGACTTTTTCTCTCTAATGGAAGAAAWTAGGCCCGACGAGCCAAGGTTGTGTTCTTTTAATGCTGTAACTTTTTGCTGCGTGGGAAGTAGCAGATCACTTTTGTGTCTCCCTAGACAGTRTATTTCCAGATGTATGTAAGATCAAGCAGATACTGCTTCGTGTCTCAGAGCCTTGTCTACAGAGGCTCTGTACATACATACAGCTCATGAGAGAGAGAAGGGCTGGCTCTAGAGAGCTTACAGTCAAAACAGATGAAAGGATGGGAAAAAAAGAAGTAATATTATCCTCTGTTTTATGTATGTGAAAGCAAAGAACAGGGAAGAAAGGTCACTTGACCAACTCTGCACAGAGAGCTTGTAAATATGGGTTTAAACGTGATACTTGCCAAGTCTCAGTTCACTATCAGAAAAACATTATTTCTCCAAAACTGGTATATTAAGAAAATAACATCAATAATGAAGCAAACTGCAAACCAGAAGAATCATAAATAAAATATCATATAAAATATAAGTGTATAAATTATCAGATGTATATAAAAAAAAATCAGTGTATAAAAATCAGATAAATTCTGATTTTTGAAAAGTTTCTCTTGTGTCCAATTTAACCAATTGGCTGTTTCACAGAGGCTGGCTTGTAACGAGAGGTGGTTGCCCAACAACAACTTGCTGTTTTCATTTATAATTATCTACCAGAATACATTGATCTGCTTTTTGACCACAATCAAAACTGACTAAAATAAAATGGAAACACAAAAGAGAGGAATTTCCTGTTGTATAGRGACAAAAAGGAGAGAAAGTATCTATTTATGGAAAACTGATGAAAAAATACACTTTTATCTGACAGCTGCTCGAAGATTTTGTTCTTGTTGTYGCATATTTTAAACTTTTTGCCTCCAGGATTAGAAAAGATTGACTATATTTCAGTTCAGAAAAGTTTAGCTTTGCTTCAAGACGCTCCCTTTTCCCACAGTATCAGTCTTTCAAAAATAAATTCACTCTGGTGGCAAAGACATAAATCCCTCAGGCTGTCCCCAGAGCCTTTAGGATTATTATAGATTAGATTATTATGGCAAGGAAGATTTAAATATCTCATTTACCTGCACAGCGTCGTAATACATTTTCCTGCCTTCTTCATCTGTCTTGCCCGACATCAGCCATGCCTTGAGCAAATATTCATAGAAGCTATCCCCAAGCCCTCCAATGGAGACGTGATCTAAAAAGGGAGGGAACAGATTGAACAGCTATTTTATCCTCCATTTAGGCAATAAAATACAACTATTGTTTGAAACAGAGGTAGATGAATGCATTTAACATCTCATCCTACAGTGATCTTATAATAAATGYCATCTTGGGACCTCAGGAAAAAAACATAATTGAAGAAAAAAAAAATTCTAATTGATAACTTTTTCAGTAGGATAAAACATAATTTTTAACATGCATATAGTAACCCATGAGTTCATAGGGGAGAATTCATTATTTCAAAATCTAGTTCTTACTTATAGTTAGCTCATATAAAAATGTGTTAACCTAAGTTCTCTTTTATTTAAAAAAAATGGAAACAAAGTAGAAAATGCACTCAAATTTGACAATTTCCCTTTTAATTGGCAGGCATTGATTTGAATTTTTGTTTTATTCACTAAAACGCCATTTAAGTCACTCCATTAAAAAAAAAAGCAAATGGGTTTCATCTAACTACTGCAGAGTTCAATTTTGGGTTTTTAATGGCATTTGAAAAATTCCAGTGCACATGCTTAAAAACAGTATTACATTTTTGGACTTTTGGCTGGTCTTAGAACTCAGCAGTGGCTTTATAGAGAGAGAATACATCAACTCTGTCTCATTGACATGAGATTATTGCTATCACATTCCTTTATATGGCACCACGTTTACTGAATGAAGTGGTCTGGTATTAACCAGCTGTGCCCACTCAGGATGTGACACTATGGGCAATGGCTACACACAACTCAGGCCCTTTGACGTCAGCACACGACACTCAGGTGGAAGTTACTGATAATCTTAGCTGTTGGCACAAAAGTGCACAAACTTGGGGCAGAAGACTTTTTTTTTCTATTAAATCTTGACTATATTTTTCCCCCTCTGCTAACATGTAACATGCAAAAAACAATTTGGTTTTCCAAAGGCATCCTTTGCCTTCACCAAACAAACACATCACATCGTCAAACCTGAATTATAAACAGCTGCTTTCCCTCCTCTTATGACTGAGATTTATCAAATTTCTGGAAAGAATAACCATTTATTTAATTAAATGTTCGTGATTCGAAAGGAAAAGAGGTTTGTTAAAAATGAGAGCATTTTCTGTGATGGAAGGCTGATCTTTGAACAGCAGCATTTAAATGACCTTTACGGTTTCCTAAATAAATTACCATAGAAACCTCTGACATTTGCAAACTAAATAGCACAAGAACAGTTTCATCAATAATAAGCCCTGTTATTATATACATTATTGCAGTAGACAAATCCAATTGATGCATGCTGCAGCAAATCACTGTCAGTTTACTGTCAAAATAACAAGGGCTAAATGAATTTACAGGAACAATGGCAGTGCTCCAGCAGTGTCCTTCACAGTTATAGCACTGCTAGATAAGTAATGTTCAGAAGCTGCTTTCCCCTCCCCACTTGATGCTTGAGGGATAATACTTCTGTCTTGTACCAATTAAGGGGCTGTTTTTTTTTCTCTCTTGTAATCAGCTGAGAAAAAGACTAGAAAAGCAATCTCAAATAAAATATCCTTCAACACTCATGTCCTGATCTTCTACTATGAAAAAAAATCAATACTTTCAAACAGAGGTAATTGAACTCAAAGGGGTGCAACAAGTAAAGATCAAATTTGCTTCTGCTGTTTCAGCAGACTACTGACTGACCCACATCAGCGTTTATGTTTATCGTTTGCACACGCAGAAAGCTTTTTGTAAAGCAAATTTCTATGTCAAATTTCTATGGCAATATAACATGCTATTGGAAAACAAGGTCAGTATAAAGTTGCCCTGTGCATGCTAGCAAAAACCGGTGTTTAAGAGGAGTGCATAAGACACAATAATATTAAAAATAGGAAAATGCCAAAGGCTGTAAGACTGAACTGGTATTTGACTGCTCTAAAATAAATAAGGCAGAGACACTAATGGTGTCAACTACTAGAAAAATCATCTCTCTTTCAGCTCACCAAATAAGTTACTGCAAGACTATATAGCTAGGTTTAATGCCAAAGTAAACAGTACCCCAGAGTTCAGCCCCATGAATTTGTTGACTCCTAGTATTGCTGCACAAAAAAGGTAATTGGATCCAAGTTTCTGCTTGGGGAAGCTGTTGACTAATCTACCTCCAGAAAGTTCACTTTTTTTGTGGTTGAGTAAAGCCAAGGAAGAAGGTTAATGAAACTGGTTGAACATGGGCTCCATGGTGCCCTTCAAATCCAGTAACTTTTACTTCCAGTGTGTTTTGTAAAGCCATGCTAAGCCAACATAGGCAAGCAGTAGGCAAATATCTAACATAGCTCACAGAAAGGGGCCAACTGGAGTCATGTGGTAATACAAACTGAGTTGCCACCAGCTGGGAAGCACAGTGACTTCAGAGAAATCTCCAAGTATAGCAGATGACATTTTTTTAAAAATGAAGGGAATGCTTTTGATTCATAAAGGAAATGCTCATAGACTGATACATAGCATTTAAAAACATATTTTGTATGGAAGAAATTCTCAAACCATTCCTGCCTCTGGTGTTGTCTAATCACTTCCAACGTTGCATAAGGTTGTAATGTATAAGATGAAAAGGGTCAGTGATCAGGAAGGAGCTAAGGAGTTTAAAACTGCTCAAAGCATTTTTATTCCCTTCTAATTTTGGTAGGTCTAATAATTGTTCCAATGGAATTAATGTCTTCACTGTTCTGTTCAGTTTGCTTCCTTAAGTGTTTGCCAACAGCATTAAACTTCAACAGAATTCACAGTTGGTATTAACTGGAAAGACTTCTTTAAAGTCTCTTGGGCTATGCTAGTCTAAAAATATGGGAACTGCTCCAGATAAGCTGGTAATGTGTCTTTAAAGAGCTGGTTTAGAGAGCGTTTTAGACTCTTTAATAAAAGATTTTCTGGAGAGATTGCAGATTGCAAAGCATGCATATTCAGACATTTTCCCACTTATATAAGCCATGCTGAAAGATCAAAAGTACACTAAAATACAGCAAGTAGTAGTATTTTTTTAAAATGCAATATTTTTATGTTATACAAACATATGATAACGCAAGGAAACAACAAAATACGTAACAGAGATAGAAAAAAGTTAATGTCTCAAAAGAGCACACGGATATATGCTTCATGGGCCCGAAGAACTGAGCTACTTACGCTGGCCCCACTGGCCACTGCTGGGATTCAGATAGTTGGGGTAGAGGCCTTCAGGTTTATCCAGTCGATTCAGAACTTTTCGAATGTTCATCACCTATTGGAAGGGTACAAAACACTAAGCATTGATCCGGTTCTCTAAAAACTAAAACAGCATCAGTGCAAAAGTCTTAAGAGTGCCAGTATCCCTTAGAATAAAAATAGTGCAGCTCCAGACATGCACTCTGTGTCCAAATACTTCTATACACCCACATGATTTTAAGACAGATCCTTTCCCTGTGGGGCCTGGTAAGTGCTTTGCACAAGATGCATCACAATATCTTTCGAGCTGGTCTTTGTCTCTATAACTATTGCAAAAATATAAGACTGTTTAGAGTCTATGCTTGGAAAATATCCACTTCCTGTGACAAATAATTACCACTGAGGAAAATCCAAATCTCTTGCCAGGGATATTTCATCTCCCAACATGTGCTTTATCTGCAGAACATGATTTTCCCTGCACAGTCTAACCTTTTCAGCAAACACTGGGTTTCCAGACAGGTGGCTCAGGTGTATGAACTCCAGGTGCAAGGTACCAAACTCTGCCAAGATGCTGCTGCCGCCAGAGGCCCACGGCCAGTTTCGACCGATCCCACTAAAGCGGTAGCGGAGGGAAAAGAGAAACAGAAATCAAGCTTGAGTGTCTAGGTAATGCTAATACAATAAATTATGCAATGGCTACGATTTATTAACAGGAGATAATGGATTTAAAAAGTTTCCCATGTCTGGCTACGGAGACGTATTTCAGCAGCCTTCCATGACCTTAAAATACTGGATGGTATTTGCAGTATATCTGGATTAATATTAGAGCTCTTAAGGGGAGTAGGATACTTAGGTATCGTGTGACAGGGTATTTTTGCCAGGATGAGTAATTTCAATTTTAATTAAGACTCAAATATACTTCATAGCAAAATTAATCCTTGGTTTTGTGCTTAGAGTAGGGAAAAATAATTTATTGCTAAATCCCCACTAGAAACTAATGCTGGTTGAAGTTCAGGAGAAAAAAGTCTTTCTTAATCTTTCATTAAAAAAAAAGCTTTCCCCTCCTTGAAATTTCCATCAGCAATATTCAGAAAAAAAAATGAAGAAAAACTAGCCAACTTTCTTGAGCTTCTGGACAAACAGTGACATAACAGAGCTGCACATTACTAGTGTGWGTGTTAGAAACAAGCTGACATTAAATGCTGGCATATCTTCCTTTTTTTTTCCAGTTCTAAATATCATTCAAAACACACACCCACATAGGCATGTATATATAAATGTATAAGAATTTCTTCATTTTACTTTTGTACATAAGCAGTCATGAGAGTCATCAGATAGCATGCTTATACAAGCATGAAAATAATTATTCTTCCTGACTTAAAATGTGATTCATATTTTGAAAAGAAAAACAAAACAAGAAATCTAGCTTTAGTTCGTTATGGTGGAGGTTGTCTGTACTATTAAAATTTCTTCTTCCAAAGTCAATTATTTGTGGCTATATTTCAATCAACACTAAGAAATGAAATCTCTCATAAAATTATTTCCCCATTTGCCATATTAACACATGATTTGAAATTCTTATCATACACAAAACATAAAAACAAGCCACTCAACTTTAGAAGCAAAGTAAAGATCATGAATAAACATATCTACGTTTACATGGCCTGGCTTTAAGTCTTGCATTGCCTTCTGTCTGTCCAGTCTTGAGCTGAAGATGCCTTTGGAACCCACTAAGGTACTATCAAAAATAAACCTAGAGTATTAACTACTAATAGATGCACTTATATCCTGAAGTACCTTAGCATCTGTCAAACACCCCCATAGGTATACTATGGGTTGCTTTTTTTTCTAGACAATAAAAAGCATTGAAATGACTAGATTTATTTTGAGTACTGAGTAGAGGGAGAACTTGGTAGAGCAAAAGGAAAGAGATCTGTTGAGGCTCCACTGACTAACAGTTAAGGTGCAAGAGACACGCACCTTCCACTGAGACATGTGGAAGTCCTCAGACACAAATGATTGACCAAAACTCTGAAGGAGAATAACCTTTCTAATATTAACTGAAGACAAAATCAATAATGAATTGAAGCTACTATGAAGATGCCAACAATCGAGCTTAAATAGAATATTTGTATGACAGAAACAGAAGACAAACTTTATGGGATCTAAATACCTCATTGATTTAAGAGCAACCTCACAGTGCTTTTGACATTCGATGAAGAAAAAAAAAAAGAAGAAAAAAACAATCTGTCTTACAAGCTGTCTTCACCTTAATCTACCTTGAGTCAGAACGTAATCAATTGATGCCATAAGGCCTTGGATATCATGGAAAATAAGATCAAGGTAAGTACCACACACAACATGTCTGGAAACCTCCCACMTATGGATCACAGAACTTACATCTACAGGCTGATTGCTCACCCAGGAAGCAAGTAACATTTCTAGGGTGCACTGGCCAAAATCTTGCCTAACTGGTGACTAAGCTAAATGATTTTAACTTGTCCTCAGTTTATCTGGATTGAAAGAGATGACATAACGCTCTACTGGTAAACAAAGTTGTCCGTCCCTCCCTTCAAGAAGTGAAGTATTTCAAGGCTCTGAGAAGTTCCAGAATTTTCGTGCAATAAGTCAGAAATAATAAGTAAGCCAAAGCTTCTACTTTTCTTCCTATTACATTGGTCAATAAATCTCAACTTGGAAAGTTTGAGCCCTTCTTGTAAAAAGGCATCGGCCAGATTTGGCTGAAAATGTAGTAAGAAGTTCCTACTTTCCTCTCCATCACAACTTTTGTTGATATCAACTTATTTTGTGGGAACATTTTGATGTAATACATTTTGGGGACCAGAAAATTTTCCAAGGAGTGATTGAGAGTTTTTCAGCATGCAACAATGTATTCACCACAAGTTACGCCATAAGTAGGATGTTCTGCTTAYGCAGGATGGCATGGGAAGGTAAACTGGCATTCTTTACTCTCAGTACCACAAAAGTAGAAAGAAGCATTCCTCTTCCAACTTTACATCTTTTAGAATGTTTTTTATTGCTTTTTATTGCAGCAGGTGATCAGAAAGAAAAAGTATGGATGTATTTCTGGCAACTCTACAAAATAATGAAGATTAACAGAAGCCTGCTGGTTTTGACTCAGAGGTGTTGTAAGTCAAAACTGGCAAGCTTGTTTCAGCAAATGGTTCAATTCTCTGGAACTGAAATTTCAGTGTCCTTAGCTGATTTTCCTGCAACTTCAGCTGTGGGACTTTGCTGTCTCAACATGTATTTCATCTTTGGGATCAACAAAGCAGTGAAGTTTCCACATTCCCTCCAAATATCTGGAGGGGTGGAAAGAGCAGCCCCTGTGCTGCTTTTTGTTCACTTTAGCTCTATCTTTATTTTACGGTGATATTCCAGAACACAAGACAGTCCAAATAAGCAGCTCCCAAAGAGGCATTAAAGAGAACCTGGAAGATACTCAGCAAAGCTCTCAAACAAAAGAGAATAAGAGAGATTGCAAACCCCTAATTCTTTTCAGTTGGGGAAGGTAGACTTTTAACAGACTCTTGGCTTACAGAAAGGAAACAGAAGAAGCTGTTTGCATTTTAAGTGAATTTTTCTAAACACTGCTGTTTTTCTGTTGTAGAAATTCATGTTAAAGCAGGACCATCACCATTTCATGATGAAATTTTCTGTTTATTTTATAAAATTTGTTCCTGAACACTGCGTACTAGAAACTCTAAAATACAGCATTTCTAAACCTTTTCGAGTCCCCCTCACAATAAGGTTTCACAATATGAGACCAACTGATGTGGATTGCTGGTAACTCAGGCAGGTATTTACTCGTCTACACCAATATTGTTCCTTTTGAATGTAGGTACAGAAAGAAGGACTACAGAAACACATCTGAAAAGGTCAAAAATATGTGAAGAATGGCAAAATAATTTTTTTTTAAATAGAAGTTGAGCAGCACAACAATCCTTACAAGATTTTCTAAAACTACTTTATACCTGTATATAACAGCAGCTGATTTTTGCATGAAAGGAACAGAAACTGCTGGGGGGGAAACTGAACACACACTTTCAAGGGTCAAAACACCTGAGTGTCACAATGCTTGTTCCTGCCTCCACAGCCATGGGGTTGACTATTCCCAGCCTTTTCTAGAGAGTGTCAGAATGACTCCACCAGTGTGAGACCAAGGCACAGGAAGAACAGAGGATGTTCTCCTTGCATGGGGCTGCTTGCACACACATCAGAAAGTCGTGCTTAATGCGGAAGGCAGAAGCAGCTGTAATGGTTGATGCACTTCTGCGGGCACAGCGGGTGTGCAAGGTGAAATATAAAATGAGATTTTTCCTATCTGAGAATTTATTATTAATGCTTCCTTTTGGGGTAGTCCACACTTACAATGATATTTATTTAAAATACAGCAAAATAATTATTGAAAGGACTAGATTAAAAAAGAAAAGATAATTTTGGAAAGTACTGTAACATAAAAAATCCTCAACATCTATGCAACTTATACACTTAGCTAGTCACAGCCATACAGGGGGTGCCATGGGTTGTCTCATTATAGTTCTGAGCTAGTAAAATAAACAAGTTAACACAATGTGTTATGAACATTTCCATCACAAATATACCAGTTTTATTATTTCTTCCGCAATGTTTCAGCCCAGAAAGCAAAATCTCCAAAGGTACACTCCATTTTTTTTAAATTAGTTATTTCTAAGGCATGTCTCTCTTCCTTTTTTTAAAAAAGTCTTCCTTTTATAAGTGTCAATATATCTACATAATGACCAGTCACTGGATTTCTCATGAAGTGCCTAGAGAGTGTAAAAGCCATCAGGCTATTTCTTATCTGTCACAACCATTCTTTTATAATAATATTTTAATTAAATTAAGTCAACTAAGTCTCCTTAAAATAAATGAAAGGAGGTCAGTACAAAGTCAAGCTTTCACTTATATGCTCAAGGTCTAGCTCTAATTTTAAAMAAAATTTATTTAAAAGATTAAGTTGGTACAGAGACATTACATAAAATATATCAAAATGATAAATAAAACGTGATTGCTTTAAGCATTTATGAGGAAAATGAATTGATTTAATAAAAAACAATTAGTATCTTTTAAATATATATTTTGTGACACATATGCCAACATAATAATAGGCTATTAATGGCAAAAATATTTCATTGGTACTATAGTTAGACATTGTGATTCCCTGAGAAATATATCTGAGGAGTCACTATRGCACCCAAAAAGACAGCTCTCAGGGGCCATTTTCATAGAATATCTAATGTTTCATTCATTATTTAGGATTGCCACCTCTGAAAATGCTTTCATAGGAATGATTTTTTACCTTGCCCTGAAAAGAWACATGTGTCAAGATATCATAAAAATAAATGAAGAGCACATTCTTCTATCAGCAGAAACCAATGCTGATCATTAGGTGCACATCTCTTGCTAACAGTTTGCTAAGAGAGACTTTAAATCCAAAGCCAGGCACCAAAATGTGTATGGGGAAGTGAAGAGTGATCGGCTGCCGATAGTCTGGAGAACAGGCTCTCTGTAAATGTCAGTGCTGCATCCTTGTCCTTCTGCTRCTGCAGCTACCCAGCGTCCATCATGCCA